CAGCAGGTGGCTTAATACTTCCAGGCAAGATCTTTTAACGTGTTTTTAACTGGTTTTGAAGTGTGTGATGGTGCATTATCATGAAGCAAAATTACTTTGCTGTGTCTCTGGCACATTCTGGTCATTTCACGATCAAAGTGTGGTTCAAATTGATTATTTGTTGTCGGTAGCGATCAGCATTAATGGTTTCACCTGGTTTTAGAAGCTCATAATACACCACACCTTCCCGATCCCACCAAAAGCAGGGCATTGTCTTCTTTCTGAAGCAATTTGGCCTTGCAGTCGCTGTTGATGGTTGACCTGGATCAACCCATGATTTTGTGCATTTGGGATTCTCAAAATAAATCCACTTTTCATCGCCAGTCACAATTTGATGCAAAAAAGACTTTCTTTCATGCTGTTGAAGCAACAGTTTCCTGGTGACTTTTCAGTTTTCTATTTGTCTTTTGTTCAGATGATGTGGCACCCATTTTCCTTCCTTTAAAATCTTTCCCATTGCTTGTAAATGATCAGAAATTGTTTGCTGAGCAACGTTTAATCTTTCTGCAAGTTGTTTTGAGTTTGACACACATCTTCATCCAATAATGCTTGTAATTGTTGGTCTTCAAACGATTTCAGTTGACCTGGACATTCTTTGTCTTTCACATCAAAATCATCACTGTTAAAGCATTTAAACCAGCGTTCACAAGTATCTTGACATGGAGCATGTTCACCATAAGCTTCCCAAAGTATTCAGCAGCACTTTTCTTCAAAATAAAGCAATGAATTAAAACTTCCCACAAATGCTCTTTTTTGGGCATGAAATTTGACATTTTTAAGCATAAAAATATCTATGATGTTAACACCTTCAGCAAATTTGACATATGAAGTTTTGAAGCTTGCTGTCAATACAACAAAATAGCATATGTATCAAATCGCATACATATCAACATATGTGAACTTCATCTATTAAAAAATCTGCATTATTAACTAGTACAACTAGTATATGCATAACCCATGGACAGAGACAATAGGATGGTAAAGGACTGGAGTGGGGGTTGCATATGAGCTGGAGGGAGCTAATGGGGGGAAAATGTAATAAAGAATTATTTTTAAAACATGTGAAGGTATTATGAGTTTCTGGGACAACTTCATGCATACCAACATTTGTATTATGGGGGTGCCCACAGAAGGAGAAGATAGAGAGCAAGATATCTATAATAATAAAAGCCTAATATGCAAATTGACCGAATGCCCAAAAAGTGGAACAACTGTCTGGATGACCTTCCTGATCACCTTCTGGACAAAGCTGTGCCTGGGAATTTCGTACTTCCGGCCTCTAATTGAAAACCTATTTGAAGAAATAATCACAGAAAACTTCCCCTACCTGGTGAAAGAAATAGACTTACAAGTCCAGATAGTGCAGAGAGTCCCAAAGAAGAGGAACCCAAAGAGACCCACACCAAGACACAACATAATTAAAATGCCAAGGGTTAAAGACAGAGAATCTTAAAAGCAGCAAAAGAAAAGCAGTTAGTTTACCCATCAGGGAACACCTATACAACTGTCAGCTGATTTCTCAACAGAAACTTTGTAGGCCTGAAGGGAGTGACAAGAGATATTCAACGTGATGAATAGCAAGGACCTACGGCCAAGATTACTCTACCCAGCACAGCTATCATTTAGAATTGAAGGTCAGATAAAGAGCTTCACAGACAAGAAAAAGCTAAAGGAGTTCATCACTGCCAAGCCAGTATTATATGAAATGTTGAAGGGTATATATATATATATATATATGTATATGTTATTGATTTCAGAGTGGAAGGGAGAGGGAGAGAGAGATAGAAATATCAATGGTGAGAGAGAACCACTGATGGGCTGCCTCCTGCACACCCCTACTGGAGATCAAGCCCGCAATCCGGGCAGGTGCCCTGACCAGGAATCAAAACCTAACCTCCTGGTTCATGGGCCGATGCTCAACCACGGAGCCATGCTGGTTGGGCTGAAGGGTATTCTTTAAGAAGAGGAAGAGGAGGAGAGTTACCAAGATGGCAGCATAGGTAAACACCAGAAATTGCTGCCTCACACAACAACTTCAAAAATACAACGAAAAGACAAAACGGACATCATCCAGAACCACAGGAAGGCTGGCTGAGTGGAAATTCTACAACTAGAAGGAAAGAGAAAAGCACACTGAGACTCAGCGGAGGTGTGGAAGTAAAGTGCAGAGGTACAGAGGCGTGCGCGGAAAGGGCTGGCAACTGAGGACATGGTTGTCTTTTTCAATCGGGAGGGAGTCTCAAGCTCCCGACTGCTCTGAACTCCAGTTACGGGCAAGTCTCTGGGGACCCAGACTCATATGGAGAGAAACTGGACTGTGTGGCATCAGTCAGAATTCGAGGGCGGCTTTCTTTCAGAGGTGCTTGCAGCGATTAACAGTACACTGAGATGCGGGGCCTCTTAGGGTAGGCCTGAGGAGCAGCCATAGCTGTTTACTCCGCCCTGTTGATCCCCTGAGACCCCGCCCCACCCAAGCTGTGCGCAGAACCTTTTGCATATGAAAGGCCTGGCCCTTTGCAATCTGAAAATTACCTAACAAACTGCAGCTGGGTCAGAGAGATCCAGAACTTCCAAAAGAAGGCCCAAGGCCCCACAGCAGCTTGCATTGCTTCACAGCTGGGCCTCATCTGGGCACCTCCAAACCCCAAACAAAGAAGAGGAATCTGCAGATCTCTCCATAGCTCCGGCTGGGTAACCTCAGGCAGAGGCTAACTTAG